GGCCAGATCGTCGAACTGGTGCCGGCTGATACCCACCCTCTCCTTTGACGTGTAATCGCCAGAAACGCCGAGTCTCCCAACTCGCGAGATTGCTCAATCTCCCAATCGTAGGCTACCATTGCTTTCCCCGTCGCGCAATTGCTCAAATCGCCAAGTTTTCCACATCGTCTTTTCGTCTCAGTCGCGAAGTATGAACGCGCCCTTACAAGTGGCAGCCCGCGCTTTTGCTGGCATACTTCATTTCGGGACAATGATAGACGGTTGTTTCGATCTGGATTATCCCACGGATAACTTAGCCTAGGCCATGTTCAAGTAAAGGACGCAGCCGTGCCTACCGCATATCTGGGGTACAGACTACATCAACATAATTTCTAAGTAATCACGAAAGGGATGCACATTTACAAAGAAAATAGAAAAAAAAACATAAGGCGCGGTCGCGTACCGCTGTTTGCAGCGAGCATGTCAATCATTCTTCCTGGAGTACACACAATCACTTCTGCACCCCTTTTCAGGTCCGCAATTTGTTCGGATATTCCTACACCACCATATACACATACAACTCGAAGATCAAGAATCTGAAACGGAAAAAAAAGAAATATACGCATATTTCAGCAAGAGAAAAGGAGTTTTGCACCTTAGCAAATTTATTTGCCTCCTTCCACGTCTGCATTGCCAACTCACGAGTAGGAGACATGATTAAAGCTGAAAAAAGTGGATTATTGAACTCGTTAAAAAGCCCACAACATAATCGAGGTTACCTATGGGACCATCAAGTTCGTCCAACTCTGGTTGATCCAAAATATGACGGAACATAGGAAGAAGGAATGCAAGCGTTTTTCCTGAACCTGTCTTGGCAATACCGATGAGATCACGACCAGCCATTATGCACGGTATCGCCTGAGCTTGAATGGGTGTCGGCTTCGTGTAATTCAGCCTGTAACAGACACATCAACGACACTGAGCTTGAGACTGCCACGGTATTTACAACCTTTGATTAAGGCTCTAAAGAACCGACTAACCTTTTCAGTTGCTGGAGAATTTTGAACTCAACTCCACACTGAGCCCATGTTTTGACAGGCTTGGGACACTTGTTACCCTTCACCTCAATTCCGTCCAACTCTTCTCTGTACACCTTCACCTCCTCCTTCGTCATTTTCGCAATTTCTGGAGTCTACAAATACAGATTTGTTACTTATTCAATTTCTGAAAGCCACAGAATGTGACCATTAACCAATCGTATTGCAGAATAAATTTAGCGTAGTGGATCTTAAAGATGTAAAGCAAACCGTGGCGTTAATAGAAGGACATATAAAAGGGTAGTTAAAAGACGCATGTCCATGGTAAGCTGTCATCTATATTTTGAACCAAGAAAAGTCCTTACTGGTTACAGAGCTTCTGTCAACAGGACATACTTTCGCTGTGAGGGTCCAAAGATACTTTCTCATCGCACCTACGGGCTCAACAGTTGAAGGAAAAGGAAGAGAAAATAGAGAAGGAAGGATGGAATAGGAGGGAATGAAGAAGGTAGGAGGGAGGCTTCGCAGTTGACAAGTATCCTGTGAGTCCTTATCCGCCAAGAATTTGACGAAAAAAAGATTCAAGGTGAGTACGGGAAGGTTTCTGCAGCTGTCATGACTACGGACAGGACAGTCGACATCGAAGTTTGGGAATGTGGTCCCATCGGCTTCTTTCATTCTGAAGACGAATGGTACATTCACCTTCGCGGATCCTGGGTCTCGTAATTTTCGAAGGGAATGGGTCCGTAGTTGCTGTACGTGACTCTTTCCCGTCTCAAAAGTGCCATTGTTTGCGGCCTATCTGGCAATGATCCGGGTGCCGGTTCGATATCCGCGCTGCCCACAGCCACAAACAATGCGTGTGATTGATGATCTTTACTTTGTTGTCCTTCTTGTGAGGGATTGTTCCGGTGGACTGGGCATCGACGCAAATGTTTGCGAATGGGATAGCAGCGAGCGAAATATTGATGAATAGCCAAGGACGTACGTTCACCCCTATCCATGTACTTCTAAGCGAGAAAGTGAAACGTCACTTGCAGTGAGCCCATTCACCTCGTTTGCAGAAAGGGACAGCCTGATAAGTTAAGTGTGCGAGTTTGCCCTCAAGAAGGCGACACGGTGTTCAAGCGACAGATCAGATGCGATAGGGAAAACTACATTCGTATCGAATTGATACAACTCTTGACAGCGGATTGGCGAGATGGGAAGGGAGCATTGGGCTGGAGGCGGCGAAGCTTGTCTGAACCATTAGCTATGAGTGCGGCAATAAGCTCTGCAGTAAACGGTAAGGATGCAGGAAATTGCTCATTGAAAAAAGCCGGCGAAACAAAAAACAAGAATACAGTTGTATTGTGAAAAGAAGAAAACGATATTCAAGAAGGAGAAACGCGGTACTATTGGTCAAGTTATAATTATTAGATTATACAAAGCTCACAGAATATTATACCAAAAGAGAACAGTAACAAGAAAAGTATACGTCGACGTAGAAATCTTTCCTGAAGGGACGGTAGTACACTTTCGAATGATCCGTTGCTGGCAGCATCGTCTTTGTGAACATCAAAACTTGCGGCCGCCTAAAGAAAAGAATTTACCACGAATTGGATGGCACTCGGAAATTCCCCAGAAATAAGTGTACAACTCTACAAGTAAAATACCTGCTCAATCATGTATTGCCAACAATCGGAATCTAGAAGTCCGTCGTTGTCTAGCACCAATCTTTTTCTCTCTTTCACAGTGTTAATATTCACAACCCTGACACCTCCCTGAACGTAGGAGATGAATTTTGTCATGAATTTGTTACTACTTCAAGGACTGGTAAAACAGAGAAAGAACGAAATAATGTAGATTGTAAATAACCTACGATGGCCTTGGTTCTTCTGCATATTTTTTCTCAGACCGCTCATGAACGCATCCAGAGGATCTTCCTCATCTTCAGCCGCTTGAGGAGCACTTCTAAAATGTAGCGAGCTGATCGACAGGTATGTGCGGTAAGTATGTCAGGAAATGAAAATCGAGTTTCTCGGGAATCCATAATAATTTAGGACTAAATAATGCGTTAAATATAGCGAGCTGATGTTCTATATGAGAACAAGTCCTGTTGTTCTATTTAAAGAATTCAATTTTTAGATTTTTGACTGGAGAATTATTTAAGTAGAAGGATATTGGAAACTCAAGGCAGCCTACAAAAGCAAAGCCACATAGTAGCGTTCAGACCTTAGAACTGGAAAGCACCGCGAATGGGACGATCGGCGGTGTGCTTCGTGTTTTGAGAGGAGATGTAGGATACAGGAGGATAGGTGCTGGCTTCACGCACATTGAGTTGTCTCTCATTCTTTTATTACTTCTCCGAGATGCCAGGCAGTGCACAGTGCAGACTGCAGAATGAATAGGCAAACGCATTTCTTCCTACTAGAATCTCTTCAAACAAGCGGCGACGATCGATACGATTCCGTCTGCGGCTGCTTTACGCGTCTATAGCCTTGCGGATTGTTCACAATCTGCGGGTCCAGCGTTTTTGAAAACGCGCGGTCGGCGTAAAGCTTTTCGATAAATCGGCTGGTGGTTGGGCGAAGAGACTGCTATAGTGCAAAGGGTTTTAGGTAATAATCGACGGCGTTTCGCAAATTCGCGAGTTTTTCGCCTTCGACAAAACGATTAGCCATCGCGGCTGGCGTTATTTCGGCAGCGAAATAGATTACACACTTACTGCTTTGGCCCAACCCCGAGCGGTTGGGCGGTTGGGCGATTCGCCGCATCGTATGGACTATTTATTGTTTTCTCCCAGCGCGGATCGCAATTGTGAACAAATGCTTAGATCGCTGTGTGCCAGTGGCGCGTCGCATGCGTTGCATCTAGCGATTGCCTTACGTAATCAAGTAACAATTCAAAATTAATTAAGTAAAAACAATTCGGGAACAGCACCGTAAGTGCGAAAACATAATATGGAAGGAAAGGAGTTCATCCCGGAAGAAGTTAATTAACAAGATAAGGAAATAAAACTGTGGGACAATGACATTACATCTCAAGCCTCGGTCATTGGGGCTAATACTCATCTTTTTTCTCAGTCACTTGGTCCGTTCCGTTTTCCGTGACAGGTTCAGTCTTCACAGTGGTTTCCATAGGTTCCTCCAAATCATCATCCTCATCATCTTCAAGGCTCCACATTTTCTTCTCTGGCTTTTTCTCCATTTTGAATAGGCTCTGCATGGGCAGACTGGGTAAATTAAGGAAAGGGAAAGCAAAGTCAAGATTTACTATAGTCCTCTTATTATTTCTCTTGTTCTGCGGTGTTCTGACAGCAATGGCGCGTTGTTACGTGTGCCCGCCAAATTTCTACTTTTCTCCGCCTTTCTTCCATCAGACGTTCTAATTCTGAGCCTGCTTCTGTCTAAAACGATTTGAGTTACTCCAGCAAATGTGTCAAGGGCATGTGATTAAGAACCTTACTTTATCCTTCATAACCACTATCTCAACAATGTCTTTCTCTTTCTTCTTTTCCGCCTCATTGTTTTTTCGTTTTTCCTTGTCTCTGCTTCTGTCACTCTTCTTTCTGTCCTTTTCTCGGCGAGGAGATCTGAATAGAAAGGATTATGAACTCAAAAATTGAGGAGCAAAATTCTTGTGGACAGGAAAATGGGTTGAAAATTAGCCGCAAAACCGTCTCACCGGACACTACTTCTTCACTGTTTCGGGATGTGGACCTTTCAGTTTAGCCTTGTTCACCCAAACCTATGAAAGTTAAGATCGCGCTCAGACTTCGCGATCGCGCTATTGGATCGCTCGAATGGATTGCGCGCGCCGCCGCAAGGGCACAACGCACTCTGCGGACGCGGTCTAGTTCGCACTGTTTCGCTGCGGAGGCGAACCGCTTGGCGGTGAAGAGCCCTGGCAATTCAGCCGAGCGATCCGATCGCACGATCTCGAAGTCTGTACGGGGTGCAACATACAATCTTCATCTCACTCGACTGTTTTCACTACTCCGCGCGGCTGCGTTTGGCCGCTATCACGTTCTCCATCAGCTGTTGAAGCGGGTGAGTAACAACAACTCGTGGAAAACGAATGATACGAACGATTCGATACAGTCTTGTCACTTGCCGAAAAGAAAAGAGAAAAACGGGTTGGTGCCGCGCCAAACCCACTCGCGCTGACATGCCTCATCATCCGCAACGAACAAGGATGCATATCTATTATTGTTCTCTTTTTAACAAGGTCTACCGTCGCTGTGACGCGCGTTAAGAAGTCGTGAAGTCGTGAACTTTCCTCTCTAAGGCTCCTTATGGTATCTTATCGGCTGTTATCACTTCCTGCCACCGACCAAGAATGTCCCATCCTGTCCTCTATCTTACTTCTTGGAACCAACGCTCTACCGCTGCTGTGACGCGCGTTGTGAATTTGGTGACCACCTTCCAAGTATCCTTATGGTATCTTATCACCTGTTATCACTCCCTGCCACCGACCAATAATGTTCCCATCCTGTCCTCTATCTTACTTTTTGGAACCAACGTCCCGTCGTTGCTGTGGCCCGCGCTATGGATTTGGTGACCCTTACCTTCTAAGGCTCCTTATGGTATCTTATCAACGCCTACCACTTCCTGCCACCTACCAATAGTGTTCGTGCCCGACTGCCCGACCCTTCAGATCACTTATCAATTTCAGCGCTCAATCGCTGTTTTGAAGGAAGTTATGATTTTTCCGGTCACACACACACACAACACACACACACACACACACACACACACACACCCCAACAGACAATCTTAGCAGATTATATATAGTAGGATTCTTAATTTGCCATCCGCTAACTCGGTCTCCTTTTCGAGTCAGGCGGCGCACCCATGGATTTGGGCCAGTAGATAAATAAGTAAATAAAAAATATATAAATATTTGTGACATGTTTGCGCATCGAAAGTGAGGACATCGGGAAAAAAGAAACCTATCTCATTCACAATGGAAACTGTATTCTCTGGAATAACGAAAAACATGTTTATGGGTAAACAAGTTGCATGGCTGAAAAACCGTTTCCTAGGCAGACTGCTATAAGAAAAACGAAAGAGGGGGGGTGATGAAAGAGCTGGCGACCGGGAATGTGAAAGCGTGGACTCGAAATCAACCGGCAAAACTGGGCTCAGTCTGTTAGCACAACAAGAAGACGTGCTCAGCGTTCTCAAAGAGGCTCCAGTCCTAGTTTGAAGCAAAGCGCATAATCGAGAGACTTTGTTTTTCATGTATACGGATTATCCTTCTATTCTATAAAGCCAGAAACACTTTGTGTGTCGGCTTTTGCTCGCGGTATGTGGGATGTATGTAAGTTAAGTAAGTAGTAGTTCTGTATGTCTGTCCGTCCGCACAAATGCCTTCAACCGCCACGTTCGAGCTTCGCTGGAGGACGATAAACGACCGCTAGGCAAACCGGAAATCGATTGGTGCGGAAGTATCAATCCAATGTTTTGATCGTGATATCGGCCTCCGCTATATAAGACAACCATTCGGTACGCTCCGAGCCATTGCACGAGCTGCTGGCGTGGCAGCTGGACGTGTGCTCGTGCGCGGGGCACATGCGGTTGCTGTGGTTCGGCGCGTGCGATGGCGCGGGGAGGGGGGACGCCAGTGCCCCCCCCCCTCTGCTTCCTTCCCCTTGCGCCGTAGCTCAGGCCCCATCCTGAGCCATGCCGCAAGGAAGGACTAGCAGTAGAACGCGTGTCCGGCTTGCCTGGAATACTGGGGCGTTTGTTCTAAGGTATGATATAGGTTACGGCACAGGAATATGTGGGTGACAAGAACTGCTAGCTGCTGATAAGGGGAATTAGAGTGGAAAGGACAACATACTCATAACGCGGGACACAGCATCATAGGCGTTGATTTCAGCAAATGATAGGAGAAGGCGACGGCGGGTGACAGCTGACTCCAGGTGACAGGAAATGATAATAACAGCTGATAAGGCCTGATAGAGAAAGATGCAGTCGTTGTTCAATCAAATGTTGGAGCCTCTACGCGAAATTATGGAGTTTTGGTGATAGCGACATTGATGACGGGTGACAAGCAATTTTATCAATTGATAAGCAAAGATAAGGGGACAATCTCACGACATCTCTGACCACTACACTGCCAAAAAAGCCTCTCAGTAAGCGAAATTTTCCCACAGCCATCACTCCTCTGATAGCACTGGATGTACTCATCCCACTAGGGCGGGGGTGCGGGGGGGGGGGCGGTACCTTATACTTTCGCCTGAAACAGAAGTGTGAAAAATCAAAACACTCCCAGATATCTGGGAACACAACTTTATGCGTTCCTAAGCATGGAGCTATTCACAATATTCTTGTTTTTTTGCTTTTTCTAGCTTTAAAAGCTGATTGGAACGTATAACGAAGTTAGTTTGTAGATATTTCAAAATGGGAACATATTGTCATCTGCAGCCATTCATGCAACCATAGCAGGTGGATTGCATGTTAATGACAAGTCAATTGCCCATCGTTGCTGTTGTGATGCAGGTAATAAAAACGGAATTTGTTCATCTACTGTGCAACACATATTGATATTCTGTACTTCCTATCTATTTCTGAGAATCTACGTATAGAATGGGCGTTATGGCCGAAACCACACGCCTTCCGCAACTCTGAGGGGTGCAGATTTCGCTAGGTTACTCTGTCTATTATGATTCGACCACTACCGCGCAATATGAGCAGCTCATGCAATTAACTAATTCCATCCCGTCATGATGTGCGCCTGGCGAAGCCAGGCCAGCTCGGCGAAGCCCGCACGCAAAAAGAATGGAGGAGGCTACGCTCGGCGTCCAGCCGGGCGATCCGACTGGTACAAGTACAAAATGCACCATTTTATGAACTAGAGGCATTACCAGGCAAGATCGAAAGCTTTTTGACAAGTAACCTCTAACAATTGTCAGCTTTAACAAGTTAAAGGATTTGTTGCTCGATACGATTCCGAAGACAGCATAGGTGCAGCCTGGCAGAATTCAAACACATCCTCAAAGACTATACCTGCTTCTACTCCTACTTCGTCTGCGATCTCTTTCACGGTCTCTTGATTTCGATCTTTTTCTATCACGACGCTCCCTGTCACGTCGATCCCGGCTTTTCTCTTTGTCACGATCCCGATCTGAACGAGATTCCTTCCCCATCGCTGGAATTCCAAAAAGTAAAACATAGGTTGATTCAATAAACAGAACTGATTGGTCATCACGGTAATTGACGAGAAGCAAACAAAGCAGCATCAAAATAGTCAAACAAGCCGAACAAGCACCCATAGTAAGCTCGAACAGTGAGGAAGAAAGAAGCCCAGTTCGATTCCAAAGAGCAAGAAGATGCAAAAGCTTCAAAACTACACCTGACATAGTGATACGCTTTGCGGAACGAGTTTTTAGAATTAAATTGCCGCAACTAAGGTTTCGAAGACGTGTGTCGTGTGCTTCGTTGTTGAGAGTGCAAACGCGGCTTGGCGTCAATAGTAATGTGCACAGTGAATCTTACGTAATAACACACATCACCAGATTCTACCGTAGTGCGAGACAAAATCATGTTGTATTACGGGTGACCTTATTCTCCGGAAGATTACACGATACTCTCAGACGGCAAATTAAAGGCACGTTCCGGGTTCGAAAACAGTGGGCTGTACGGCCCAAATACCAACGACAAGATGTAAAAAGCTAATTAATAAGCTATGTGGGGCGTGGTTGGACAAGTTTTCACTTGTTGCTGGCAGCTCCTCCCCTATCACCTCACTCCCACCAATCGCAATGGAGAGTTCTGGTAGAGGAACTACCGTAGCAACGGGAAGCCTTCAGAACTGAAAGCTAGGCGTTGCCGTGGCCAATGAGCGGAGCCATGGCGTCTCGCGAGCGGGTTGCGCTTTGCTCAATATTTTTGCTGCGAAGTAGTACATCTTCCATGCCAGCGGGCAAGACTGCCATGTACTAAGAGGGCGTCTGCGCATCAAATAAGTGCGGAGCAGGCCTTTAAGCGTGACTTAGTGAACTTTTTAAGCTCACTGAAATAGGTAACAGAGGTGACTGTTGCCTGAGTTCACCACAGCAAAAAATGAAGGACAAATTTTCCAAGATCACTACCCAGTTTCTTGCTGCAACTATGTACACTCGAGTTCCCTGAGATCGGGTAGGGGTGGCCGCATGTTTCAACTTACCCTTACGCTTTTGATGCGATATTTTCGTCTCGACACAATAG